TTTTTTTTTTATTGATTTCAGAGAGGAAGGGAGAGGGAGAGAGAGTTAGGGTTTGATTCCCGGTCAGGGCACAGGCCCGGGTGGGCTCCATCCCCCCGTCAGGGCACAGGCCTGGGTGGTGGGTCAGTTCTGGTCAGGGCACAGGCCCGTGATCTCTCTCTCTCTCTCTCTCTCTCTCTCTCTCTCTCTCTCTCTTCCTTCCTCTTTGAAATGAACATTTTCTCCATATCACTGCACAGGTGCTAACTTGGATGTATAACCTTCATTAAAATTCTCTTATGTCAGTGGTTCTCAACCTCCCTGACGCCGAGACCCTTTAATACAGGTCCTCATGCTGTGGGGACCCCCAACCATAAAATTATTTCGGTTGCTACTTCATCACTGTCATGTTGCTACTGTGATGAATCGTCATGTAAATATCTGATTGTATTTTCATTGTTACAAATTGAACATAATTAAAGCATAGTGATTAATCACAAAAACAATATGTAATTATATATGTGTTTTCCGATGGTCTTAGGTGACCCCTGTGAAAGGGTCATTCGACCCCCAAAGGGGTCGCGACCCACAGGTTGAGAACCGCTGTCATATGGTCTGACTTCCTCCTCATTCACTATCACTGTAATTAGCAATACGTCTACTGCTACACCTCCCGCGGGGAAAGCACTTTCAAATGTAGGATTTGAGGCCACTGTCACCTTGTGAGGTCAAAAGAGCAGGGTCATTATCTCCATGGTGTTCCTTTAACAGGAAGGACATGGCCCTGGCTGGTGTGGCTCAGTGGACAGCGCGTTGGCCCTCGGACCGAAGGGTCCCGGGTTTGATTCCGGCCAAGGGCATGTACCTTGGTTTCAGGCTCGATCCCCAGCCCTGGTCAGGGCGCATGTCTCTCTCACATCCATGTTTCTGTCTGTCTGTCTCTCCCCCTACTCCCTTCCGCTCTCTCTAAAAATCAATGGAAAAATAATCCTGGGGCGAGGATTAACAAACTAAAACAACATAAAAACAAGAAGCTTGCCTGGCTGGAGTGACTCAGGGGTTGAGCATCGACCTTATGAGCCAGGAGGTCAGGGTTCGATTCCCGGTCAGGGCACAGGCCCGGGTTGTGGGCCCCATCCCCAGTGTGGGGCGTGCAGGAGGCAGCTGATCCATGATTCTCTCTCATCATGGATGTTTCTCTCTCTCCCTCTCCCTTCCTCTCTGAAATCAATAAAAACATATTTTTAAAATAACTCACACACACACACACACACACAAAACAAAGTAAGGAGACGGAGGTTTGGAGAGAAAAGGAAGACACCAAAGAAGGGGTAGATTGGAGACTAAAAGTGTGATTTCCTGCCTTCTATTCAGCTGTCTCTCCCACGTCCTCGGAGGATTCCAAGACACAATACGGCCACTGGCGTCCCCAAGCAGGGACCCTCCCTGTTCAAACAGGAACCCTCCTGGCCTTCATTCCCTTCCGGGCAGACAGGGGTGTCTAACCCCAAAGCCCACGCCTCCACGGCCACCCCTGTCCGTTGCGATGGAAGGAATGATCGGGGAATCAGATCGGAACAGACGATAAATCAAACGTTCGACGACAAAAAAAAAAAGCCACTGGCGTCCCCAAGCAGGGACCCTCCCTGTTCAAACAGGAACCCTCCTGGCCTTCATTCCCTTCCGGGCAGACAGGGGTGTCTAACCCCAAAGCCCACGCCTCCACGGCCACCCCTGTCCGTTGCGATGGAAGGAATGATCGGGGAATCAGATCGGAACAGACGATAAATCAAACGTTCGACGACAAAAAAAAATCAGAGAAAATTTGTAACAGCAACCGACTGGCTGGTGGAAATACGGAAATGTATCCAGTTTCAGGCAAGAATGTGGGTTCCATTATGTTGGAAGATTGTGGTTCTTTTTTCCGAATGCCACGCTTCAATCCCACCCCCGGACAATATTTTACAGAACGCGGTGTTTGCCAGAGGATATAGCCAATACGTGTCTGTGAGGCTTAGTTCTTTCGACTAAACTCTTTCCTGCTTCCTAATCTTAGGTTCCTGGCCACAGCAGGACACAGTCTGAAATCTCCAGGCATCGTCCACAAACTTGTTGTTAAAAATATATATATTTTTCTTGATTTCAGAGAGGAAGGGAGAGAGAGAGAGGGATACGAGAAACATTGATCAGCTGCCTCCTGCACACCCCCTACTGGAGATGTGCCAGCAACCACGGTACATGCCCTTGACCAGAATCAAACCTGGGACCCTTCTGTCCACAGGCTGAGGCTCTATCCACTGAGCAACACCAGCTAGGGTTGTCTTTTTCTTTTTAAATATATTTTTATTGTTTTCAGAGAGGAAGGGAGGTGGGAGAGAGAGAGAGAGAGAGAAACATCAATGATGAGAATCACGGATCGGCTGCCTCCTGCATGCCCCCCACTGGGGATCGAGCCCGCAACCCGGGCATGTGCCCTGGAGCGGGAATTGAACCTGGGACTCTTCAGTCCACAGGCCGACGCTCTACCCACTGAGCCACACCAGCCGGGGCCAGGAAGGCCATCTTGGCCTGCACCATGGGAATGGCATAGGCCTGCATGGATCAGTGTCGCTCAGGCACGCGTCTACATCTATGCATGACCCTGTATTAGATCCGAACGCACTGCCAACAGCGGTATAGTAACCGCATACTAGCCCGTGACCTCAGAATGACCTCAGAGGCCTGTCCCTTTGCCTACAAATCCGTTCCCACACAAATGTTCCCACACGGGTGACTAGAAACCGCCAGATAGGAGCTCCCTGCTCTCGGGCGTTATCGAGCCCCGGCCACGGAGGGCCCCTCACTCTAGCCTTCCCTCCCCGCTCTTTCCACCTGGAGCTCCCCTCCCCTTCCAGCCCCTTTTCTGAAAAATTGTATTTATTTATTTAAATTGATTCCAGAGAGGAAGAGAGAGAGAGAAACATCAGTGATGAGAGAGCATCAAGGGTCGGCTGCCTCCTGCACGCCCCCCACTGGGGATCGAGACCGCAACCTGGGCCTGTGCCCTTGACCTGGAATCAAACCCGGGACCCTTCGGTCCGCAGGCCCACGCTCTATCCACTGAGCCACACCAGCCGGGGGCCCCCCTCTGACTCTTTAAGGCTGATCTCCACAGGCTCTTCCTACTTCCTCCCGGTCCATCTTTTCAGGATGATCTGTGGATTGCGTTGCCTTTCACTTTCCTTCTGGAGCGTTCCTTTGTCTTTTTAAAATTATTATTATATTTTTATTGATTTCAGAGAGGAAGGGAGAGGCAGAGAGAGATGCATTAATGACTAGAGGCCCGATGCACGAAATTCGTGCAAGAGGAGGCCTTCCTTCCCCTGGCTGCTGGCACCGGCTTCCCTCGCAGCCCTGGCTTCATCTGGAAGGTCGTCCGGAAGGATGTCTGGTCTAATGAGCATTTTACGCTTTTATTATTATAAAGGGTGTCCCAAAATTCACGCAAGATTTGCATTTTGCGTGAGCATTAACAACAACAACAACAAAAAAAATAAAAGCCTAATTTTACTTGGTTTATTGAATCAGATTCTAATACCTGTTGCCCTTTGATGTCAGTCCCTTCAATTCGATAAGCATCACCAAGTACCAATGATGGCCCAGGAGCAGGGACAAGGAAGGCCCATGAAGACCGCGGCTTTGCGTCTGTGCCAGCAAAGCCGTGGAGGCCATTGACCCGATGTGCTATTCCATCCATAACCCTAGACTGTGTACTTTATGAATCCATAAAAAAAATTTACAATTTTTAATTATAAACCTGTGTTTCTATCAAAACTACTTCTTGCGTGAATTTTGGGACACCCT